TGGAAGATTAGCTTGGAACAGCCCTGAGTGAGGCTGAGCTGGGTGGCACAGAAGGGGCAGGCAGCATGGAAGGCGTGGGTGCCATGGGGCAGAGGGATCTCCGCCCAGTACTTGACTGACTTCTCTGAGCAGACGTGTCCACATGGCACAAAGGCATGTGTGGGTGCACCTGTGTCCACATAGAAGGCCGGCTCGCAGCCTAGCCAGAGCGGCACATAGGGCCCCACCACCCGGCACATGGGACACTCTCGCTGGGTGTTAGGCCCCTGCTCTGAACGGTGGCCCCAGTTGTGGTAACCATGCACATGGCCACAAGCCAAGTAGACCCAAGGTTGCTTGTCCTCCAGAGAGGAGAGGGCACGGCTGCGTTGCATGCTGGGGAAGGCGAGGGTGTTGAGACCTACAGGGCACTGGGGCCGCGCTGCATTGATCTCCTGTCTGAGAGCCTCCAGGTGCTTTTGGGTGGGGGTGTGAAAAAGGCCTTCTGCTGTACGCCACAGTAAAGTGGCTCCACACAGGTCCACCAGGGAGCCGTCCTGCAGTATATTGCTCTCATTCTCCACCTGCAGTGGGTGATGTAGCAGAGTCATCTTTAGCTTAACTTTGCATGGATGCAATAGAACATTTACATCATGCACGTAGCCATAACAACCATGTTCTATTTGTAATGCAACAGTTACATCACAGTGACACTTCTGCTTGTGCCAGCATATGTACAGTATTTATGCATGAAGCTACTGACCAGTTTGCCTGGAGTCTGTGCTGAGCGGGTCTCCCTCAGAGTGTAAACATCCCCACAGACCGAGATCTCTCTCCACACTCCAGGCTTGGATTCTTCCGTGAACCCACCCTTGGGGTGCATTACAAGTACTCCATTTGTTGTCAGGCCATCCATGTGACCGTCAGGGTTTTTCCATTTTGCTGCTTTTTCCTATAAACAAGAGAGAGAGATAGACAATGATGCAAACGGGTGTGCTGTGTGGCATCCCACTTGTTGCACAACACTACTAATAATATGCATTTATTGCATTTGTTTATCTGGTTACAACTTAGAAAGTAGACACAAAACCCTTCTATACAAACAGTAGGATGAATTGTGGTACTTTAGCTCTACAGTAGTACACAACTAGTAATTACCCCAAGGAAAATGTTTTTGGAGGAGTCGAACCCTGCGGCGTAGATGCGAGCAGTGTAGGGTGGGTTGCGCTCACAAACAACTCGGCAGGCAAAGCGGGAGATGGTGCTCTGTGTGATGGGAGTCTCCTCTCCCTCCTGGCCTCCTGCTATTGTGTCAGTCACTACAAAGTCTATGGGACTCTCTGTGGAGCGCCCGATCTACAAAACAACACAGCAATGAATCAGGACTGTGCTATATTGTTTATATGGGTTCTTGTGATTGTGTTTCTTATCAATACAATGACATGGATGAAAAGGCATTTCCTTTTCAGTTCCAGCTGACATTTGAACTCTGAGCTGTTCTTCCTAGCAGCTCAGTCTTTTGCCAGTTTCAGATGGTCTGACATTTGAATGGTGGTGTACAATATCATGTTGCTCTGTGTGTGTGTGTGTGTGTGTGTTTAAAAAAATGCTGAGACATGGTACACTTTGGTGCACAGTGTTCTGACTGGCAGTGTATTGTTATATCAGCACAACAATGAATTTTTAAGCAGACCACAGAGTTCAGCACTAAAAAATGTCCAAACAATCCTCAAGCTGAACAAAAAGGTAATAATAAGCATTTTCCTCTTTAATTTCCTCATTTTTTCCATCTCATATTGTCCTGAAGTACTGCGCTCAGCTTGCTCCCCCCTCTCTGACACATCTTTGTTTCTATTTACTCAGTGTTGTTTAAAGACCCATGGACACAATACACAGCTGAATGTGAAGCATGTGTCTGTAGTGCTACCTTCCCTCTGGTCATCATCTCCTTGCTATACGCTCAGATTAATTCTGTAGGCAGACCTACTGACTGTACAGACAGGGAACATGCAATTTCTTCTAGAGGATGAGGTTCAAAAAAGGGACAAAACAACATGTGCATCTATATAAATGGCATAGCTGCTAATATTCTTTATTAGAAGAAGTCAACTGTCACTTAAATGACAGACTAAAACGCCAACTATCTTGATAATCCCTTCATTATCTGGTCATTTTTCAAGAAAAATATGAAGTTTTGATGTTTTCCTGTCATACGTATATATAACAGGTTATTTTAAAGCATCATTCACACAGTCAACAGTGTCATATGGTTTACCTGAAACATGTCTGTGTCTTTATCATGGCTGTACTCCACCACTACTGTCTGGTTCCTGGACAGTGTGTAGGAGATGCTGTGTTGGCCCTTACAGTTCACAGCCTGAAATATAACAAAAGAAAAACTTAATACATACAAGCTACATGTTGAGATACGTTCTTAAACACATACAGTATAAGCAGAGACACACCACTGTTTTGTGCCATGGTGAAGTCAAGAGTAGCCCTCTGATGTTAACACCAGATGTTAGACTACCAAATGTCTTATACAATCTTTGTATTGCTGGGGTTAAATCAAGGTTCAGGGAAAATCCAACCTGATTAATCAAAAAGGTGGAAAGTACTTGTTGGAAGATGGTGTTTAATTGTCATTGTCAGTATTTTTCATCTTATTTACAGCTACAAAAATTCCCAAGCATTTTATTAACATGACTTCTGTTTTTTACAGCACAAATAAAGCAAGACCTCTTGTGACTTATTGCATCATGTCTTCATCATTGTACCTAAAACTGAAGATCTGTGGGTCTGGAACAGAAACAGAGTGTAAATTCACACTCCTGTGACAGTGACCACAAACTGCCCACTGGCCTCAGTTATGTTTCTGTTCCAGAAACACACCACAAACTGCCCACTGGCCTCAGTTAACACACGCTCGCCTTAGTGATGAAAGGTTGGTAAAGCCAACTTCCATCAACACTTTACAGCATGCCACTATCGGCCCGCTCTAATCTGTGAATTCCATTTTCATGTGCAGCTGGGAAAGAGGAAGAGAGAAAGTGGGTCACACTCTGCTGCAATGTCAGACAACGACTGGGACGAACATCCTCACATGCAGTCTCGTTTCGACTGCGCTGCTACAAACAAATGGTGCTCAACCTGTTCACACACCCTCCATGAAAGATATTGTTTTATAAGCACCACATCATGCACTCAAAATGGCACACACACACACACACCCTGCCTATGTTGAAGGAGTAAAAATAAAAACAACCGCGGTCTAACCAACTCCCAAAGGAAGGCCAATGCAAACACGCACAAATGGGCTAATTGAGATCAAGTGGGGACATGAGAAAGCAGAGGCAGGATTTAAATAGGAGGCTGTCAGTGGCACCAGGGGAGCTCCTTATTATCTGTCATAAACACCAGAGTGTGCACAGACACGTGAGCTGCTTTGCTTCTCAGTCACAGGGCATTCTGGGTTCATCGGTATCAGACTGCTATACCGTGTGGGGGAAGAGGTAAGCTGGGGAACCGCTGTAGAAAAAAATATCAAACAGGGAGATGGTTTGGTCCACTTTACTCCTCACTCAAAAAGAAGGCGCTCCTCAAATCAAGCTCACCAGCCCACTTAAAGAATTGTTACTTTACACTGCCTGTATAGCCAGGAACGAAGGGTCAGCCTGCTGCGGCAACTTCCTCTTGACTTCACGCTCCTACTGCTAGGTAACAGAGTGGCAGAGGGGAACAAGGTCACAGCAGTTCCCATCTCTGACATAGCCTGTAACTGTGTAAATGACACGCTTTGCTCACTCCAGTCCAAACAAGTTTGAAGTTGAGGTGTATTATCCTGTTCTCAGATCCACAAAGGTAGGAAAACTCAGATGTCAGATAAATTTGCTCATCACCTCTTGACTACAGATGCACCGATAAATTGGCCGAGATCGGAAATGACCAGTTTTCAGATGATCGGCTATGACCGTTAACCGGCTGATCACTCAGAGATTTCTGATTCTGTGCTGATCAGATTTAGAGACATGACAGTTCATGTCGAGCACGCAGTGGCACAGACCAAAAGTGTAGCATGTTTATCGTCACACATGCACCTTGAGCAAGGGTCGTGCTCATGTCTGTACCGGGCGCATGTTCACTCGCATATTGGAAGCCCGTGGTGTACAAAAAGTGCACAGAGGAGGTGACAGAAACACCACGGAGAAGGAAAACTGTGTCCAAATCTCTGATAAATAGTACACAGTGAGGGAATTACTGGCTACACATGAAATTCATGTGTATGTACAGTGAATCCTACCGGTGGAAACTGGAATCGGCCAAGAAAATTGCAATCAGTGCATCTCTACTCTTGACTTAATTAAATACACATTTTAACATGAAATTTCCAGCGCCATGTGGCTTTAACTTTGTTTTAATCAGAACATGTCTGTATTATATTATGAATACTGTTTTATGATTTTATTTTCATATTGACAAACACACATTTGTGTCATTATGAGACACACAAATCATTTTTACAGATTTATTCATCTGAATTTCAGTTGTAGATCTGTATACATGCATTTGTGGCCTTCATGACAAGCACAAATCATTTTATACACATCTGTAATCTTATATTTGTAAACCACTGAAAATGTGTATTTGTGACCAGTTATTAGAGATCCATAGGTCCTCTGAATTGTTTGACAGTTTTGCTTGGGATCAGGAGGCAAGAATGCAGGAAGGCAGACGTGTTATACTGGACAGGGCAGTTTCTGCCAGGCACTCTGGTGCAGAGAAAAGTTATGAGGCCTGGCTAAGAACAGCTGTTCCTGTACGGGAAATGTTAACATTAAGGTCTGCCAACAATAATGTTAAGGGTTTTACTGCATGTCCCATACTACTGAAACCCAGGCTTCCCTTATGATTTGATTCCACTGCCTGTAATCTGCTGAGTTCATCAGTATGAATTAAAACCACACAAGTATACTGACAATTACTCATCACCCTCTGTCTCAGTTATTCATTTGCCTGCTTATATGTATTTCTGTCTAGAACATACAGTATATTAAGAAAGAAAAGCAGTCGATGATTCCCACTGAGTTTGTGCATTATGTTGCTCACTCATCCTCTGCTCTGTTCTGTACCTTACTGGCCTGGGGGGTGCTGAGGATGTGCACAGTGCTTGGCTTAACACCATTGGCTTTGGTCCTCCTGTACAGCGCAAATCTGCTTTTCCGTCTACCCCGATCTCCATTGGGCAGAGAGCCATTGTACCTGTCACAGAGGGGGGTGGGGTGGAGGGAAAGGACAGCAAATTCACATTTATTTATTTAAAAATGCTAACCATTTTTATAGCTGCATAAATATGCATCTAATAAGAGTTATGGGAAAAATTGCTATAATCTTAAAACAAGTAAGCGCCATGCGTTACACCACTGGCAATGTAAGGCACCGTATTAGCAATCTAAGCCATACCTTGGATAACGTCTCTTATTACATAATGCACTCTGCTGTGTGTGATTTCCGAGAGCTAGCTCTGTGTAAACTGCAGCTGTTCTTTTGCTCTGTGTCCCAGGCAGAAGCAGATTTTAAGATGCACGTCAGGTTTGCTATCACTCTGAGAATGCTCAGTCTGAGCGGAGAAGTGGTTCACATGACTGAAATAGATTAGCTGAATTTATACACTGACAGAGACAGCTCCAAAATCCCAAATACCAAATGTTTCAGCACAATCAGAAAAGTCTCTACGAGCCTTCAGTTTTCAGTTTTCAAGACCAAATTCTAGTTTTGTCCTTCAGTCTGCTGTGAGGCACCTATCCTAGCCTGCCCCTTGTGAATGAAGAAGCCCCTTCCGGTAAGACTGGTCCTCTCCCCATCCACCAGCTGGTTCCTACAGCTGGGACACCCCATGCTCGATTCCCATCCAACACACAGACCTTCTGTCGCACGCAGTAACCACAGTCAGCTAAACAGGCACTCTGCAAGATGGAAATATCTCTATTGAAAGCCTCAAGTTTGCATAGCACAGTTTGCATAGCACTGTATATCACTGGCGAATGTAGTCTACCAACCACAACATAATCTGACATTTCTCCTCTTTGTTGCAACACAAATGCAACAGTAGCAATAAGAGCTGAGCTTCCTTCTGCTTCTTCCTCCCTCCCACTCAAGCTTGTCCACCTGTCCCATGTCTCCACACGGCTGACCAGGCATGGAAACACATGGTCCCAGTCAGCACAGTGCACAAGGCTGGCCTGAAGGACAAGCCACCCACAGAGAGCTAGAGAGGCACTGGATGACAAAACTACAACTAATACACAGACAGCAGGAGGAGAACGACAAAATACTAGTGGAGAGCATTTCAAAGTGTTCCAGTTGTCCCCCGTAGTCTTCAGGTTTTACAATTAAATACTGAATATTGCTCAACAGTGGTTTTCTTTTAATGCTGATTTCAAAATAAATCCACTGATTTTTAGGGTGCAGAACAGAATTACATCAAAATATAATGGCAAATTTGCTCCCAACCTTATAAATATATAGAATGTATTGATTTGTCTAGTGATATATACTGTGTGGTCTCCATACACTAGCAACTTTGTATTTTTGTATCAGATAGCCTAACAGAACATATGTCAGTTTATCTGGTTGTTCTTTACATAATCAAACCAGTGCTAGAAAAGGGAAAAAAAGAGGAATAAAGTAGAAGTGTTCCGCAGCAAGTCTACATTGTTGCCATAGAAGGTTTAATTGTATCGTGATTGATCAAATCGCACCAAGTCATATCGTCTCATCCCTAGTGACAGGCACATTGATGATCTCTCATTAATAAACACAGTTTTTTTAGCTAATTTAACAGTGTGCTGACTCTATACTCCAATTTCAAAGAGACCGTCCTAGAAACTCCCACCTAAATAAAGAGCAGCCAGGCCTACATATTGGTCAAATTTAGTGGAGGAGGCCTATATGCCTGAATGTCTTACACACAGCACACAATTAGATTCTAAATTCTATCCACAGAATATAACCCTGACTCTCTGAGAAATGGCACACGCGCCTTCTATTATTCATCATTATATTGAGGAACAATATTTTGTCATCCGGAAACCACTACCATCGCATTAGCTAAGCTCTTTAAAGCTGAGCTCCAACTAACTCTGATTCCTTTTTGACCTGTGCCACTGCCAGACAGACAGATTTACCCTCCAGTACTCAGAAGTAGGTATATCACATATCCTCCAGGGCTCTGCTAAGGAGCCAACAGCACCTCCTACTTTATATTCTAACATGAAAGGCTAACTTGCATAGAATGAGGAGGAGGAGACATGCTGAGTTGTTATTATACCACTCATTAGAATGACAAAGAGACAGTGTGGGCTTAAAGGGTCATAGAAAATGGCACAGGGGTCAGATGATGCTGAAAACTAAAAGGCTATAACTAGGCCAATCTAAACTGTACACATGCATTGAAAGTACTGTACATCATCAATACATGGGAAGCAGCCAGATGGCAGAGTTAGTGGGGAGAGCATCAGTCCGCTGACTCAGACTCAGGTACCATCTGACTAATATGACCTTGCACGAGACACTGACACCACTCTAGCTCCACCTCCACTCAGGCCTTGTTGAGGACGGCAAAAGGCTAGCTCTTCTCCTTAGATGAATAAGAAGAGGCACACATCTCAACAATCAGTGCCAGTTTGTACCAAAGACATGCCCAAGTTGATTTGTACACTTCCTTGACTGTGTCTTCCAGTCTCCCAGTCACAATGGACAGAGGAAGCTAAGAAGAGGCAGAGGCTGGGTTCTGATCAATCCATCCTTTCATTTCCAGGATACCCACACAGCCGCTTCCCCCGCCCTCCAGTGCCCAGCACCAAGCCAATCCACCCAGGCAGAGATGGGGGGCAGCCATGCAAGTAATAAGAGCCACCACGGTCATGGCAACAAACTACTGAGGGGACTGCTGCTCAAACAAGCTTTGTTCCATGCTGTCAGCTATCTTGTCTACCATCAGTTTTATCAGTGGGATGTGATGTCATGGCAGTGATTATACACCCGTCACATCTGACTCAGATATGTGTCTTTATGTCTGGTTAGAGAACAAAACCATCAGTTACAAACTTGCCACATGCTCAGCCTGGGATAATAAGCAGTCAGCACTTTTTGTCCGCTATAATAAGCTGTATGAATGTGAGTGTATGGGTGCAGGGCAAGGGACAAAACCACACTCACCCATGCTGTGTGAAACCTTTATAATCATCTCACTTCCAGTTCTTCAAACTAATGCTATATACATGTAATTCCCACAGCAAGACACTAGGTTATAGTTAAAGTTATTACACTTCAATAACTTTTAAAGGGGTTTCAATCATTCATAGCACAGCGGGTGCTGTCTATCATCTGGAGACAGTTCAACAATATGTTTCTTTAGAAAAATTAATGGCTACAGTTTTTCCTGAACCAATCCAGCAATAAAAAAAAAACTGTACTGACATTAACAAAGAAAAAGTCACACCAGTGTTTAAATCAGTGGCAAGATGAGACATGTATACTGATGCTAATATAGCTGCCTTGTTGTTTTTAACTTCACCGGATTAAGGCTGGTATCAAGTGTCAGTGTGGTAGTTGTATGAAGGCCAAAATGACTGAAACCTTATTGAGAATAAAAAGTGTGTGTTTTCCCCATAAAAAAACTTTTATTTATGCAACAAAAGGAACTAAAGTGCTCATACATTAAATGTGGTCAAAACACATTCAAGAACTTTGCCTTAATAAAGCGGTTTTTAATCAGGAGCTCTTAGTGAAGAAAAGAAAACATAAACAAGATCCGACATGGCGTCTGATGCCAAATACTAGTACTTCAAAGTAGATCTGAAACAAATGATTGACTGACCTTTCAAAAGAGAATTAATTATCAACTATAATCAATAACCACTGATAATGTGAACAAAGTCATTTTTACCTCATAAACAGTCATTGGCTTCTCAGTTGTAAAGATTTCCTGTTTTCTGAGTTTTATATATCATTGTAAATGGAATATCTCTGTATTTTTTACTGTTGTTCTAACCTAAAGAACAATCTGAAGACATTCTGGCTTTTTAAAAAACCCTTTTAAGAAAATTTATACACCAGAAAATTCACTGTTACATGTTAGTTGCAGTCCTTGACAATTTTCAGTATTCTGAGCTTTTGTCTGATACAAAGGAAGTAGTGAGGCTTGATACCCAGCACTATATTACTGTATATTATATAATAATATTACATAAGTACAAGCACAAAGATTCTAAATGTATTGTAACATAAAATACTCAAATCTGTGACAAAATGTACTGTCAAGTTTACTGATATAACCAAATACATAGAAATAAAAATAAATAAATGATCCATAAGTGCTCACTGTTATCACTGCTACCTCACAGTAAAGGTACCTGGACTAAAAGCTGTACCATAGACCATTTTGGATCACTGATAAAGGTGGCAATATAACATTAGATACTGTGAAACAATAAAAAATTGTCCACAGAAACTTTGCCAAGCTCACTGTGGTAGACTTCCTTGTTTTATCTCAGGCTGTATCAGGCCATCGTAGGGAATATTTTGATAAGAGTTTGAATGCAATGAAGTACTAGGATTTTGCACATTTGATTTGTCGGAGTAGAGATGAACAGATAAATCATGTTTTGTGAACAGTTTCTTCATTTCTTTTTCCAGAAAAATGTATAATACTATTAGTGAGTATGAGTGTGTGTGGTTGTGTGTCTCTTAGTGTCAGCCCTGTGACAGACCGGTGACCTGTCCAGGGTGAACCCTGCCTATCAACCAATGTCAGCTGGGATTGGCTGCAGATCCCCCTGCGAACTTTTTCAGGAATAAGCAGTATAGATAATGGATGGATGGATGTATAATGCTATTACAACATATCACATATCACAATAACAAATGTATATGTTGCTGAAGAGGATTTTATCCCTATACTTGATGCTGGTCTCTGCAAAAGCCTGGTCTCCTACCTGACCATGTGACCAGCAGACATTAGATGTAAAGAAATCACCTTTTTTGTTGGGATAAGCAAGGTGTATGATTTCAGACCATTCAAGGCAATAATCATCTGTAAGTCAGATCTGGTCTCTTAGAAATAATACAAGCCATGACGTGACAGTGTATGACTACAGGAGTTGTCTGCTGTGTAGATTTCAAGTTATGCGCTTTACAGATAGTACAAAAAAGGAAGAACCCTGGGGCTGGGGGAGGGGTACCATCACCACTTCCGAATTCCTGAACCCCACGAATCTAACTTTAAGGTTGGAAGGAGCGCTCTGGTGAGAACTGCCCAGTATGAGACTCCTTTCACCAGAGTTACTAAAGTTGTCCCTAACGTCTCTATTTCATGGGCATCGCTATGTTCAGGTGTAACGAGCCTATTTTTCATCCTCGGTTATCAGGGAATGAAACATCGCCACCAATTCGCCAAAATGTTCACATATCTCATTGCGCACGTCTGACTTTGTGGAGCGCGTGAATTCCTCAACTGGGCTTGACGTGTATTTTTTTAAATGTATGTCTTAAAAGTCTATCTTTACCTTACATTAAAAATAGTTACTGAGAATTCACACTTTATTTTAGTCGCGTAACTGTTAGCTAAGTTTGCTATGTGAGCTCCCTCTTGAGATACGTCCTATCTACTCGCTTTCACGTTCATTTAGGAGTGTCTGTAAAGGAGAATTATCCCAAAATAAGTATCACAGCGGCCCATCTTACCCCAGAACCACCAGCTCCCCGTACTTCACTGGGTCTTTGGACGGGGCGCAGTGCTCCTCTTGGCTTGACGAAAACATGAGGCTTCACCGTGTAACGTTAGCTATACAGTAATAATAGAGGTTCGAAGATCACCAGGAGTAACCTTCCAAAATAAAAACCACGATACGCTTTCGTTTCAGGTCATATATCCAGCGTCTAAGTGTTCTAATAAATCCAGGTCTCTATAAATAAATTGGTCTCAAACTTCTTTACAGTGACATTACAAAGCGTAACTTCCTTGGCGGTTGAATCCGCTCTGAAGCAGATACAAAAACAGCGAGGAGCAGGGCCGGAGTGTACCATTCGCTTGTTCTTTACTTTCTGCAGGGGGGGGGAGTCATTACCAACTCTGTGTTTAATTTGTGCGTCTGACCGAACTGTGTTTTATATAGCTATTTAAAGTTACACACTAAACCTGCTGAAAATATTTTGCACTTAATGTATTCTTGACTAAACACAGTTATCGAAATGACGACACAACTGTTTTATTCGACCACCTCACATGGTCTATGGATTTCACCTTATGTTATGTAAACAACGGGTACAATCTGGGAATTCTTAAAGGGATCATACTTTTCCTGATATGTTGCCAAACTTTTTAGTTTCCTATATCCAAGGAGAACAGACGTTTGCGTCCTTGTTCGTGCTCCTTATATTATATAAACATAACAAGATTCACTTTTCTTTCAGAAAAATGTCTTAGGAATCATACTGTTATTAAGTTACACAGGCCTAAGTGATCCTACAGAAGGCGGGACAGTAATAGAGGGAAACACATGGTGAAAATAATCATCATGGTACATTTCCTAACTGAGATAATATGCAGAGAGGGAAAGGATGGCAAAATCAGATTAGCCTATTTTGCTGTGCCCTCTTGGGCCCTTTCAAGGGTTTTGTTTGCTTATGACTTTAGTGCAGTCAGTTAATGCCTGTGATTGCTTATGCAAACCAGTGACATCACTGTTTATTTGCATTTCGACTCTAACACAACGTTCACACCTTATGTGAGGATGTCAAAAAAGTTTTAACCTCCACTGTCATTCTTTTTATTATGTCACATGTCTGATTGGTCTCAAACCTTTCTGATGAATGTGTCCTCTCTCTGTTTTTGTTTGGCAGTCTCATCAACACTTTACTTCCTCTCTCTGTTTTAACAAGTCTGCATGGCTGGTGGTGTACTCACAGCTTCAGGCCACCTTGGTGGTCATGTTGCCTCTGCAGTTATGGCCTTCTGTTTGAACTGGGGTTCAGTTTCAAAGTGCAGTAACACTTAATACAAAGCAAAAAGTAGTAGAGGGTCACTAGAGTTCACGAAGGTGCTTGCCTGCCCACATTTACATGCTACAGCTCAAACACTGCCCTACAAAAAGACACTACACTGATGTATATTCCTATTTTTTAAGCAATACAACTTTGATTAATCCATTACATTTGTTGGGTCTGTTCATAGCTGCACATACTTGTCCATTAATAGTACAGAGGAGTGAACTCCACGTTCTTCAGCAGTTGTGCTGGTCCTCGTTCCTTTAACTCCAGGCCTAGGGGCTGGCCTTAGAGCTGTGGATATAATGCATATTTACTGCTCTTTTGTGTCACTGTCTCTTTGCTTTCATCCACTGGGCATTGTCTGTGTAAAAGAGCACTACAGTCTTTTCGATGTCTGCCTGACTCACCCTCCCGCACGCACTCACACACAAACTGTAAAGTTGTGGGGGTGGGGATCAAAGGCTCTCTAGCACATACCACACTGATGGAGAGCAGATGCAGGGAGTGGGCTGCTTTGCTGAAGTTGCGCTGGCGTAGTGCGAGTGCAGATCTATGTTTAGGAGGAGGAGTCAAATGTTGCCAGGCAAGAAGCGTGCAGAGTAAATGCCGACTGCAGCAAGCTGAATTGCGCAACTGAGATTAACAGTGTGAGCAATGACACAGGAAAGACAAAACACCTATTTCCTCAGTGCATTTTCTGTGGAAGTCAAGAGACTGCCCATTAAATATCAGGTAAAGTGTAACCTCATGCATATTTATATCTAGTTTCTTCCACCATTTTAAATCTGTAGTTATCAGTTTTTTTCACAAACTAAGAAAACTTAAATGGGATAAAAGTGAGAGAAGTGTAGAAACATTTCTCATCATGTCAGTTTTAGAGATCATCATACAGTGAAATGAATAGCAAAGAGTGTTCATTTTAATCAGAGGAATCACATTTAAGCAATGACTGTAAATTCTGAATCAGCCACTTTACAGGGAGCTTTATGTACATATGGTCTGAACAGCCTCTAGCAGCAGGCTGTGAAAGGCACATTCTGTGATCCAGTTAATGACAAATATGTCAGAGACACAGCGTCACCTGATTCATCACAAAGTTTCCATAAAGGTACACCAAGAGCCAGATCTCCAATCAGCTGACTCCAGCATGACGGTGTGGGAAAAAGCCAGGAATGTGCTGATCCCACATTTGGCTCATGCCCCTGACCTGATCCCCCAGTCATCACAACAGTTCTGTTGTTTTAAAATCCATTTAACAGGCAAAACAGCTTTCTGTGCAGATACCTAAAGTCAAGTCAGGTCCACTCACAAAGAATCTGTACGACTGAACTAACAGTTTTTAAATCCAGATTAAAAACGTATCTTCTTAAACAAGCTTTCGAGCTTTAATTTCTTTTATTTGCCGTTGAACGGCATTGTGCACATTTTATATTTTATGATTATTGGGTTATGGTTTAGTAGTGCTCTGTCGGTTTTAGTATTGTTTTTAGTGTATAGTTATCCTTATTTTGTGCAGCACTTTGAGCTCCCCAAGTTGTAAAGTGCTATATAAATGATGTTTATTATTATTTATCTTTTCAGTAAAATGTAAAGCTGGAAGTGGTGAAATCTAAAAAAAAAAAAAAAGAAAATCAAATCAAATTTATTTATATAGCACTTTAAAACAACATCCAGCTGACCAAAGTACTTTACATGGCAAAATAAAATCACAATAAATGACTATAATAACGTAAATAAAATCAGTGCAAATAAAAATAAAACAGCACAATAACACAGACACACAACATATGTTCAATAAATTAAAAGGAGTTCAAAAGAATGCATCAGGCCCTACTGTGTATTATTAGCCAAGCCAAATAGGTTTTAAGCAAGAATTTAAAAGTACTGAGGTCAGTAGCTGACCTAACATTAAAAGGTAGGCTATTCCATAATTTAGGGGCTGCAACAGTAAAAGCACGGTCACCCCAGCGTTTATATCTGACCCTAGGAACCTCTAAAAGAAACTGGCTTGAAGATCTGAGGGACCTTGTAGGTTTGTGCCAGTGCACTAGTTCAGGGAGGTAAAATGGTGCCAAACCATTAAGAGCCTTAAAAACAAAAATCAATAACTTAAAATCAATTCTAAAACGGACTGGAAGCCAGTACCGGGGTTATATGGTAGAATTTCCTAGTACTTGTCAAAAGACGAGCAGCACCATTTGGAGACGAGTGAGGGAGGACTGGTTAACACCATAGTATAGAGCATTGCAATAATCAAGTCTAGAAGTCACACTATTAAGTCCTTACATTTGTCCCTAATGTACGTTAAGAGTTTATATTTCATACTTTCTCCACTCATTGTCATGTGACAAGCGAATGTTTTCCAACATTACAGCTATGGTAAGAGAAGTCCTGGGTAAGTTTTAGATTTCAGCCACCTGTTGCATTGCCTTTTTCATATCCTCATTACTGATGGGAAATATTTTGAAAAACCTCATACAGGATTTGAGGAAAGTCTCTCCTGTTCTGAGGAATTATACAATGTTGACATCAGGGGAAACTGTTTACGTCCATACAAAATACTTAAACCTAAACACCACCACTGCATGACAAACATGTTTGTGTACAGGGAAGTCAGATGAATATTTTGCCAAGCAGAATATACCATCCATAAATGCTACATGAACAGGAGCTTTTTGGTTTTCCTGTTCACATTCAGAGTTGTCAATCTGAAATTTTAACTAAGGTTGTGTGCTGCCCTACAGTGGCAGGGAGAAAGAAGTGTAGTGGGAGAAAAAGAAGCAACACAGGGGCACCAGGCAAGTTTATCAAGCATCCCTTTATTAATGTCACCCGTTACAAAAAGACCAAAATCTTCAGGGTTAATGAACTTAGCAACAATATAGCAAGTGTTGATTACAAATGATATGGGACACTTATTCCTAGAGTAGTTGCAGTAGGATTAAAAACCTCTACACTCCTGACCTGGCCTTCTCCTTCCACAGCCAGGGTCACAGACTCCCTTATCTCTGGAGCTGCAGTACAGACGTGACTACAATTTGTCCATGCATCTCCATAGTTACAGTCACGTAGTGACCCTTCTGATATACTGAGACCCTTTCTGATCTCCTTTCTCCATTCCAATACTGAGTCAAGATATGCATGGAGCTATGATGAATTTGTGAATGCATGATGATACACAGGTCGTTATAGTTTTCTGGTCAGCAGGCAAACAGATCAACATACTGTAGTGCATTTCAGCAGGTCCTAACTGGTACACTTAAACAATACAGATCTTTAAGTTAAAAAAAACAAAGGACTGAAAACCCCAAGTTTGTTAAGTCAAGTTGGAAATTGTATCACTGCCCTTGAGACAAATAAAACTACTGCAGTATTCAAAAAAGAATTTCATTGAAAATATTGGTGTTTTAAACAGAGGAATGGTTGCCACACAGTTTGAATTATTATTCTGGAAGTCATTTTTAAGATTAGAATAAAAATCAACTAGCGATTCTGCTGAAGATGAGGAATGTGCAGGGAGTGGGGTAGTGTGTGTTTTGGTACAGTTTCTGGAGTGTTTGGAATTAACAGTAACCTCTGTGTGTGCTCCCTTGTGGCCAACAATGATTCTGAGAGTGGGTTACAAGCGCCTCTAAGAGTCAGTTGGAGGCTGCCTACAGTATAGGTGAGGTGACACAGGCTGAGAGGGAGGAGGTGGCTGGGAGTGACAGAATGGTGTAATGGTGGTAGCAATGAGACCAAAAGGTCAAAGGTGGTTTCGGTAGTGCAGTCAAGGTGCCTGCGCAGGGGTTCTATCCTCCTCTCACTATACTTTGGCCAGATCTTTATCAGTCTCCTGGAGGAAATCAAATGTACATTGTTCAGACTTAAGTAAAAATACAGGACTTTGATGCTATAATGCTGTTTTATAGGGTGGCTACAACAGCGTAGTAACAGGCCTTACCCCTTCCTGCTCCTTGGCGAGTTGCCGGCTGACGGCTTGTAGCAGCTGCTGCAGTTCTGTGACAGTTTGGTTCAGTCCTGCAGTTATTTTCTCCTTTCTGTCAATCTCCTCCTGTCAGAGAGGATTCAAAGCTCAGCGAAACCATGTGATCACAATACAAAAAAAAAACATATACTACCAAGTGTTCCAACAACAACCCAACAGCCCCAGACTCTTACCCCCTGTGACGACAGACTGCCAAACTCTATCAGGTCATCGGCGTTGTCCGTCACTTTTGAGAGCTCCCCCTGAATCAGATCAAGAGACTGCTGGGCCTGTGTGAAGGACCAGGAGTTTACACTCGTTAAAGTGGCCTGAACCCACATCAGTAATGTAACAACACATAAATGATCAATCTTACCTTATATAAATCACCAGCCACCTTTTGCCTCTCATTTTCTTCTGCATCCAGCTTGGACAAAGTCACAGTGAGCTGGGTTTTAAGCTGGAACCAAAACAGACATTCAGCACATTCTATAGCATATGACAAATTCCCATTAACACCCAGGAGTCCTGTTTATAATTCAGCAATGCATACCATAGTATCAAAGAATATTCAGTCAAAGCCTCATTCCATCATTGCCTACATTAAATGTATTCAATAGCTTGTCATCAAAACAAAAACAGCACTATGTCAAGGGGATGCCTTGATATGTTTAGATGCCTATCACCACTGCAGTTATTATTCCTACTTATACATGATTACAAGATAAACCAATATGATTGGTATGTTTTCTTGCTCATATTCTCATTGGAATTATTCAGGAGGCTACATTTTCCATAGTACTATTGTTGGTCAAGAACATCTGATCATCATCTTCACAGACGATGACAAGACAAAGACACAAAAACAGACAAGGTTTGTATGAAACTCAAGAGGGGAAAAAAAGTGTCCACTTCAGGCTGTGGAGTAAAGAGGAACCCATGTTGACTAGTAGGTCATTTGTCAGAAGCATGAAAAAGGCAGTAAGATAGAGTACTAGAGTACTTGTGCAGAGAAAGAAGAGTTAGTCTGAAGTGTGAAGGTGCTGTCATCATTCACAACCTTTGACTCTGCTACTTGACGAGATCACATTCCTGGCTCCTAAAATCAAAGATAATAATCTTGAAGTTAAGGGCAGAGAGAGCATGTTCCCTGAGGTTATGGATGATGACCAACAACATGGAGACTGCTGTCCTGTGGTAGTCAGTGTAGAGGACTGCTGAGTGCAACAGGGGACAGGTTTGAAAGGAGCTCTAGGTAGAGGGTGAGCAACGCTTACCAAATTTAGCTCCTCATTCTGCCTGATAGCCTCTGTATATGAGCCATCAAGTCTGGTCTGCAATTCAGTCAACAGATCTTTGAGCTGAAATTAAGTTTGAGATGATGTGTTTAACTGGAGGCTGTGGGAGTCAGTTCAGGACAGCACACAGTCTTTACAGTGAGATGAGCAGAACAGACCGTTAGGCAAAGTCAAACTGAATGGTCTCACTATTCAACATAACCATTTAGTATTTTAAAAAAAAGCCCAGGGTTCCTGGTGCATGACTGTATTTTACCAATGGCAGTTAGTTATTAAGCTAGTCTGGTAAGTGTCTGTGTTGTGTGAATTTAATGTGCCCCAAATAAACAGCATACAGAATGTCACAAAAACACACCATGAGCATGAAATCCACACACGACAAAGCTCATCTTTTTAGCCACAGAAGGATGATTGCCATGACATGAATGAGGACCACAAGCAAGACTGGGTGAAGGAGTCCAGTTTCTGCTCACCTCTCTGACCTCCATCACATAGATGGCACTCTCACGCTCCGCCCTCTCCAACTCAGACTCCAAGTGCTGCTTTTCTCTTCTCAGCTACAGAGCAAGAAGAGATCCAGAAATGCACATGAATCAGAATCTGTTAAGTACAATAAGTCTTAAATGTTACTGTTAGCTTAAGATGTGTTTTTCAAGAGAACTGACATTTTCCAACTCGGCTCCATCAGTTAGTCTCTCAATCTCCTGCTCCAGAGATGTGACTTTCTGGCTCATCTAATTGAAAAGATGAAGAAGAATAATGCAATGAAGAAGCCTGTGTTGCAACTATACCACCTCTGATTTGGTGTTCAGTCTGGGAGTTTGTTTCCAGCTAAAACTGAATACATACCTCTCCGAGCTCTCCCTGTGAGACCTCCAGCTTCACTCTCCAGAGAGACTCCTCCTGCTCCACACTGCTCTGGAGGCGCTGCAGGATGCCCTCCTGTGGACGCAGCAGGAGTGACAGCTCAGTTCTGCATATTTTCTGTACTACTGTGTAAACATAACACAAAATCCTCCTCTTACCGTCTCTGCCAAAACCTTCTTGTACGTTTCACAGTCTTTCTGTAGAATCCTTTGGGTTTCCTCAGCCTCTTTCAGCTTCTCAGCTAGTCCCTAGTACGAGAATAGCATCTGTTGATACTCTGAGTTTTAAAAGGAATCGTGTTCAAGTTTACATTTCTATATTTTTACCTCAGAGTCCTGTGGCGCAGGGGTCGACTGGGCAGCTGTGTTTTCAGCTAACGCCCTCTCAAATATGTGGAGCCACTCCTGATGGTTCTAAGAGGAGATGAAGAGTAAAGAGAAACATCATGACACAGGAGGAGTGTGATGGAGTAAGAAGCACAGGGCTATGCAGACATTTTGGGGGCCAGGTGCCCAAACAAACAAACAAAAAAAAGACACCCCTATCACCAACAAATACTTATTTTAAAAAGGTTTCCTGCATTACCTGCAGTAGTTATTAAGTCAGAGGGTGAAAGGGCACCTGGAGTCTGTGTATGTGCCTGAAGAAAGGTATTCAAACGATCCAGTATTACCCATACCTGTTCAGTGGGCAGAGGTACATGGGGCAGAAGTCTGTGCAGAACATCTCGACACTCAGCCTGAGATGCTGCCAGTGCTGCCTGGTGCTCCTACAAAGTGAGTGGAAAAAGGACAGAAAAGTGATGTAAAGACTGAGCACTGGCTGTTCAAATAATTCAGTCACTTCGAAGATATGGTCCAGTGGTCATATCTGGGCAGATAGGACCACAACCCCTCCTCCTCCCTCATTCTAATCTCCATTATCCTGCTTTAAGCCAGTCACCATCAATTCATCCATCAGGTTCAATGTCTTTTAGCATCACCAATAATAACTTTAGGTCACTAGCACAAACATCCACATCCAATAAACATCAGCATCTTCCAACAGGCCACAGCTGCAACAAGAGCCAATAACCTCAGATGCTACAGTCCTCCTGAAACCACAAATACATCAGTCTGCTTTTCATGAAATTCTACAAAGAACTCTTGACTAAATAAGGGTAGGATTCAGTCCTCCTACAATAGACCAGCATCAAGTACTGTCACTCTGAGGCCTGAACGGAGAACATATGCTAAACACCAGCCAGCTGGCATTCTAACCACTGTTCACAGTCACACAAGGCAGCTCTGAGACAAGTGTGCAAGTGTGGAGATAATACAACCAGCATGCACTGACAGTACACAACAACTGTCAAGGAACTCCTTGGCTCAGCTCTGAGGTCCTTTCCACTGTACTCAGATGGCAGATGAGCAGCTGCTGTAGTGATAGTTCAGCATGTAGGGAGGAGGCCACTAAAAATACACAGACACACACACACACACACACACCTCAACTGTGACTACAACAGCTAGCTGGTAGCCCCCTAGGTCTACACAGTGTGACCTGCAACTGCATGCAATACACTGTAGATTTTGCTTTACATTTAGTCACAATTGTTCTTCCTGGTGGAGAACAAACACGTTTCAGGTGTGAATGCAGAGCATTGAGAAACAACAGGACAGTTTTTCATCTCTGATTAAAGCTTTGAATGGTCACACTTCCCTTTAAAAAAAGAGAATACTGCATTAAATTAAAGGGAATTTATTGATTTTCATCGGCAAACTGGTGATATTCAAAGTGTGGATGTCAAGAATCTGAATGGGGGGAAAAACATGCTAGAAATGAGTCACAGGACAGAAAGACAGGAAGCTGTGCAATGATTACCATGAAACTTGATCTAATGACATCTAGTGAAATAATTTCTAGGTCACTGCACACTCATTTCCAAGCATCAGCCTGAGCTTTTGGCAAGGACAAATCTTTCATATTTCAGAGCTTAAAGCAAAAATAGATCCACTAGAGACAATATTATTTGTCAAGTTAGTAAAAGTCTGCAATTCCCAAGGGGATTAGCTTAGTTCAAAAGCTCAGCACACAGCCAGTTGAAAACCTAAGGCCAAACAACACAGGGGAGAGGCGAGAGTGAGGTAAATGAGTATGCAGTTTTGTTATGGATGATGGCGGTAAAGAAATCTCACTGGGTCAATTATGGCATAAAAAAAAAAAACAGCATTTTGGGAGGGGGGAATCAGATTGGAACTAGAGTGAAGCAGACTGAGATGGGGTGTCGAACCTTGACAGCCTTGCTGAGTTTCCCTTGAAGCATGGACTCGGTGGCTGACAGAGCTTCCATTGCGCTCCAGTTTTTCTCCCGAAGCTCCTGTTTTGGTCCATTCCAGAGAGATACTACTTTCAGTTCAGCCTCAGAGAAAATGCATTCAGTGACCCTCAAATACAGACTGGTAGAGTAACAGAACTCATTTTACAATGACCACACTCTGCTTTTCACCCATGCTCCAACAGCTAAAAATAAGCATGTGCAAATCACCCCAGGAGTCCCTGTCTAGCGCCTCGTGGGTAAAAATGCAAGATATGTATAGTAGCATTGTTCTGTAAGTGCTTTCAATTCCAATTAAGGTGCCAGTGTCTAGCGATATATCAGATACAAAAATGAAAAAAGGTCTAGATACTGTATATATTGTCAAAGTCAAAAATGCCTCTTAGAAAAAATAAAAGGTAGGCAAGTTTCTAATGCTCTGAATCACCCACAAGAACAGACAAGCTTGCTGAAACAGTCACGGGCAACAGTGAGCATAACAAAAGTAGGCTGGATACCTTGTTATGCAACACTCAGTTTTAGCAATCCAAATCAAAACAGACATCTGCACTGACGTGTATGATTATGTTGCGAACACAACCTTGGCTAAAGAAAGCTTGATACAACAACAAAATGTTTTAAAAAAGAATAAAAACAAAACAAAACAAGGCTTAGTTGCAGTGGACAACAGGGAATATGGATGTATGCAGTATGCAGCTCCAGTGTGAGGGAAGTGTTTTGGGGTACCACACAAAGGGGAGTGATGTCTCACAGGGCTAGACCAGAGCAGCAGGTATTACATAGCTCAGGTCATCACTCTAGGAAACCTACGTTGTTCTTCTTCCTATGAAGTTCCAGGGAGTCCCTCAGCTCAGCCAGCTCAACCTGCAGATCTGAGACCTGCTTCTCCTTCTCTGACAACCTGACAGATAATGACAACCACTCATTATGAATGTTTATGTTGTTAAGGATCCTTTAAAATTAAATTTTGTGTGGAAAAAAAAAGCTATTTGTTATGGTAGGGCAGGCGACATTACTCACGCTGTAAGCAGCTCTGGCCTTGGCACTGCTGTCTGGAGTTGCTATTAATGGAGAACAAAAACAAGGATGCAATATGATTTTAATCTCTTATGACTCTTATTAATAATTCAACCACCAACTTTGTCTTAGTCCAGAGTGCCATTTCCAACATCCTAATTTGTTCATATTGCACTCTTTTTGAGATCGTGCCTCACCTGTTGGTGTACCTGCTCCATCTTCTCACCCAGCTCCTTAGTCCTTGCCTCCAGCTCAGCCTGTAGCATCTGAATCTCCTGGTCCTTTGCTGCCAGCCTGTGGGTCAGATGCTCATCATTAGCCTGAGTGTAAGGGCTGTGCTGGAGGAGTGCACAGTGATCTACTGGGTTAACTCACTGAGCCTGGAGTTCTGGGAGCTGGGTAACAGAACTGGTCAACTCTGGTGTCTCCTTCTGTCTCAGCTGCTCCACATCTGCCTGCAGGGCAGCCAACTGCTGCTCCAGAGCCTATTAAACAAAAAGTTCTTCAGACAAACTATGCCAACACAACATGAAGAACATGAGGGACACCATGGTTTTCTGAAATGTGCAAACCCAGTATTGTGCTGATCAAAATTAGGTTCACACCTCAACTGTCTTCTGTCTTGCAGAGCTGCTGTCTTGTGCTGCATGTAGACTTTCTTCCATTGATTTTAGATTCACATCCTTCTCTTGGACCCTACAGAGTGCAGTGACAAAGGTTCATTACACAGAACTGTTCAAAGAATCTGCTACTGTTTATAATATCCACTACAAGAAGACATTTAACAATACACAGCCTCTGGTGCCCGTGGAAACCTGATGCCAAAAGATTTAGACACGTGGGTGTGTCTGTCTAGGCAGTGTCATGGAGTGTCAAGAGGACCTAGCTTTGACAGTCTTAGAGTAGTACAAGTAGTGACCTTTGGCTTCATAATACGCAAGTATGACTTGCCCCAGTTACTTTTCTTCTCAGCTAGTTGGCAAAGCTGCTGCCACTGACTGAAAAGAGTTAGGGAAGCTAAAGGTAGATGTTTTTAATCCCTCTGTGTCTTTGGCTATGTTCACATTACATGCTGAAATGACCAGAGTCTGATTTTCTTTTTTTTGACTGAAGTGTCATCTAACTAAATCAGATTTTTCTCATATTAGGTCATGGCCACTTGCTTAGTGTGGTCCTACACCACGTTCACACTGCAGGATGAAGTGACTCAAATCTGATCTTTTTTGCCCAAATGCGACCCATATCCGATTTCCTGACAGTGTGAACAGCACAAATCCGATTTTTTCGAATCCGACCCAGGCCACTTTCATATGTGGTCCTAAATTGGATACGTATCCGATGTTTTGCAATGCGACTTCAGTCTGAACGGCCAGGTCGCATTTCATGCGATTTTTATGTAATTGAAATGCGACAGACGTCACAATTCTGCGCTGGAGGAGGCAGGTAATAAAAAAAAGTGGCAGACAACGGTGATTCAGGTGGTGATAACGTTTCCCTTCTCACTCAGAAAGTATTAATGAATTCTGTGTCCGTGAAGCCCCTCACAGAAGCCCACCAGTCCTGGCTCCGACTCCGCACCCACACATTCCTCTGTACAGAGGTAGCAGCCACTGCTCCACAAAAGGCCATAAGCAATATTTGTGCTCTCCTTCTTCTTGATATTCTTATTATTATTATTGTCTTTATTTCGATTGCAAATTGTCAGGTACATC